GTTCATCACAACTTACGCGGTGACAAACAGTTACGTAATCAACAGTGTAAGTAGGACTGTGGGGTCCGTCAAGCAAATTCGCGACCACATCCACGGCAAATGGAGAGGTTGCGGTGCACAGGCCCAGTAGACAAATGCGAGCTGTTCTGGCGCCGGCCCCAAGCCGAATAAACCACCTTTCGCAGGAAACAAAGTTCCGGCCCTGGGGACTAAAGTCCGCCGCTTTACTGCTCGATCGTGAGGTAGTGCACACTAAAGAGCCGTCGCTCGTCGACCCAAACGCTGTGGGGCGACCAGCCGGCCTGCTCGGCCAGTCGCACGAACTCATCGTGATCGTATTTGTGCGAGTTTTCGGTGTGGATCGATTCTCCGGCTTCGAAATGGAACTCCTCACCGCAAACGGTCACACAATGGTCCTCTTGGCTAATCAGGTGCATCTCCACCCGGCCGAGTGCTTCGTTATAGATAGCATCGTGAACGAACCGCTCGGGCTGAAAATTTGCCTCCAGCTCGCGGTTGATGCGACGCAAGATATTGAGATTAAACGCAGCCGTCACGCCCTCGCGATCGTTGTAGGCTCGCTTGAGGATATCGACGTCCTTCTTTAAGTCGACCCCGATGAGCAAGCCTCCGCCGGAACCACACAATTCAGCCATGGTACGAAGCATCGCCACCGCTTCATCTGGTGTGCTATTCCCAATCGTCGAGCCCGGATAATAAACCACCCTCCGCCGAGCCGATCGCGAAGACTGAGGAACTTCGAAAGCCTCATGAAAATCGGCACATACGGGGAGGATCTCTACGTTAGGGTAGGACTCGGCCAGCGACTTCACCGACTTCATTAAATGTTCGCGTGAGATATCTACCGGCACGTAGCCAGCCGGATCACGCATATGCTCGAGCAGAGTACGCGTCTTCAGACTGCTCCCGCTGCCAAATTCAATCAACAGGCAACGAGACCCCAATTGTTCGACGATGTCCTCCGCGTGGGTTTGCATAATGCGGAGTTCTGTACGAGTGGGGTAGTACTCTGGCAGTTCGCAAATCTGATCGAACAATGCCGAGCCGCGTTCGTCGTACAAGTACTTACAAGGCAGAGTCTTCTGTGGCTTGGAAAGTCCCTCGATTACTTCGTGCGAAAAATTTTCCGCTGGATCAAGATCCACCAGCGCCATACCGTCTGTCGATCGGTTCATGCGAACTTCCGTGAGAGAGTTTGCGTGCCTTGTAGCTTCCGAATTATACCCGGCCGAATAGGGTTGAACACCGTTGACTGACTGGGAGTTCTCCCACGAGGCGACTTCCGTATGCGTAGGACTGATAACCGATAGAAACAGCCATTCCCCTTGCGAACAGCTATCGAATAATGAGTGCTTAGCTTTCGTTTGGATCGTAACAAGACGGCCAATCGAACACGGCCCAAGGTTGACCGGACACTTGCGGAGCGTAAAATTCGGCCAACTTTCCCCTGCATTGTTGCGTTCTCATAACCGACATTATCCACCGACGAGCAAATATCGCCGGATCGCTTTACCGGTTCTCTTCAGGGTGTAAAGGCCAGAAGATGCAGAAGACGGCTCAACTCGCAACGAATTCTCGCGAAGCTCGCATTAAGCAGTACCAGCAGGTACGTGATGGAACCGAGTGCGCTTGCCGGCCTTTGGAGACCGAAGACTTTGTTGTGCAGTCTATGCCCGACGTAAGCCCGATTCGCTGGCATCTGGCACATACCACTTGGTTCTTTGAACAATTCGTGCTGTCGGCTCAGTCGATCGACTATCGCCCCTTCGACCCGGCCTATGCGGCGTTGTTCAACTCTTATTACAACAGCATCGGCGAACAGTTCCCACGCCCACGGCGTGGCTTGCTCACTCGCCCGACCGTCGAACAAGTTTTTCAATATCGCAAAGAGATCGATCATCGCATCGAGAAATTGTTGGCGCAATGCGATGAGGCAACGCTAGAACGCTGCTGGCCCATCATTGAACTCGGCCTGCACCACGAGCAGCAACACTGCGAACTCATCTATACCGATATCAAGCACGTCCTCTCGTGCAATCCGCTCTACCCTGCGTACGACGGTTCGGAGCGAGCGCGAAGTTCAGAGACGCAGACAGCCGCAATAGCCCTCGACTGGCACGATGGCCCACGTGGTGTCCAGTGGATCGGCCATGAAGGGCCCGGCTTCGCCTACGACAACGAATCGCCACGCCATCAGGAGTTTATCGCCGTACATCAGTTGGCCAATCGGCTGACAACCAATGCCGAGTACCTGCAGTTCATCGAAGACGGCGGCTACCAACGGTCCGAACTATGGCTTTCGTTGGGTTGGCAAATCGTTTGTGACGAAGCATGGAAGGCGCCGTTTTACTGGGTTCGCCGCGACGACCAATGGTACGAATTCACGCTTCACGGACTGCGGCCCTTAGATCCCCATGCTCCGGTCTGCCACGTCAGCTATTTCGAAGCCGACGCGTTTGCCCGTTGGGCCGAGTCACGATTGCCAACCGAGGCCGAGTGGGAAGTTTCCGCCTCGCAAGTCCCCATCGCGGGCAATTTCATCGAGCAGCGCAACCTTCACCCAATGGTGGCCACGCAGACGGACAACGAATCATCGCCAGCACAGATGTATGGCGATGTGTGGGAGTGGACCTCCAGCAGCTACGCGCCGTATCCCGGTTATCGCCCGCCACCGGGGGCTGTGGGTGAATACAACGGCAAGTTCATGTGCAATCAGTACGTGCTCCGCGGAGGTTCGTGCGCGACGAGCCAAACGCACATTCGCGCGACCTACCGGAACTTCTTCCCACCTGAAGCCCGTTGGCAATTCTCCGGCATCCGCCTGGCACGTTGAACAGGAACGGCCTTACGAGCCCTCGCGAATCAACTGCACCGCGTCCACCACGACGTACCCGTCGGCTTCCTCGTTCGAGATGACGATCTCCGCTGGTGTACCTTCTCGGAACTCATAGCTGCCCAGGCTGATGAACATCTCGTCAATCGGCGGTTTCTTCCGCTGATTCACTTGAATGACATGGTCACCGTCTGCGGCCACGATACGGACCTTCGCTGCAGAAGCCCGATTCGGGTTCGGCGTGTACGACACGCGAACTTGGTATTCACCCGTTTCCGGCACGTCCACCACAAACCGCGCCTGCTTCTGGCCGATGCGTGTATTCCCGTCGTGAGCGTAACTTCGCCCCACGAAACCTCCCACGCTGCGGCTCGTCGACCACCCGCCGATTAACTCCGCTTCAGCATCATCAACAACAATGCCCACCAACTCCTCTGGCTTCACACCCCGCGGCGGTCGAGGCCCGGTCCACTCGAGCACCTGCTTGTCTTGCAATAGCCGTTGTTCGAGGCGCTGCATGTCGATGTCCTGTAACGCACACACCTCGTCGATCGATTGGCTCGCCGCCGTGGCGGCCGATTGCCCCAGAACCATAAACACCGGCTCCATCCGGATCGAGCCGTAAGCAATGTGCGAGGCAGACAAGCAAACCGGCACCAACAAATTCTCACATTCAGCCTTCTTCGGCACGATCGAGCGGTAGGAGATGGGGTAGGGGGCGAAGCCGTGCACTTGAACGTCTCCTTCGTTCACAACACGTCCATCGACCACATATCGCTGCGTGTTGTGCGAGTCCATCCCATAGGCGGCCATCCCGACGGGGTCATTCACAAGCTCGTCGCCCCAACAGTGGTGCTCGGTCATCACCACGTCGGAGATCATCCGTCGTGCTTCACGAACATACAGTTGATGCGGCCAACCGCCGTTGTCGACGAACTCGTCCTTCGCCAGTCCCCACTCGTTGACGTAGTTGCGAATCTTCTCCGGCACCCGAGGATCGTTCGCCAAAAACCACAACCACCCCTGTTGATACTTGGTGTGTTCGTCGAGAATGGCCTCCCGCGTGGCATAGTCCCCCTCGGGATAGTCATAGTTCATCCCGATGTTGTCCGTCGAGAAGGCACCGTTGTTGTTCGTGTCGGTCTTGCGGTTGGGCATCATCAACGGATTGCCCAGGCCGTCCCACTGCCCTGCCAGAATGGTTCGCAGGGCCAGCTCATACCGCATCGGGTCATATCCATCCGGCTTGGGGAATGCGATGCGGTTCGAAGGCACATCGGTCAGGCACATGCGATAACAGTAGGCCTGCACTCGGTGATCGCCAGCACCATGTTCGCCCGGACCCCCGGGATGAATTCCCGGCAGAAGGCCACTCTCAGGATCGCCCGGCACCACGTACGGATCGACATCCACGTGAAACTGGTGCTTCTGCGAACCTAACTGCACGCCGTTGATCGTTTCCCCGTACGTGTCATTTGATTCGCGTCCCACGTGGTACGACACGCCGGCGGCGGCCATCAGATCGCCCTCGTAAGTCGCATCGATGAACCGCTTGCCCGGGAACCGGCGTCCGCTTTCCATCACGACCGCCACAATGCGGTTGTCTTCCAGTTCTGCCCCGGCATTCAAATCCAGCCGTTCCCCGAAAACCACTTCGACTTTCGCCTCAGCCAGCATCTGTTTGAAGATCGCTTCCGCCACGTGCGGCTCAAAAGTCCACATCGTCTTTTCGCCGGGAGCCTGTCGACGGCTCTTGTAATCCTCACGCTTCTGCTGAACCCACGCATCGTCGCTGGCATAGTGATCGTAGACGCGCCCGTAGAACTCCCGCGCGATGCCGCCTATGGCCTCCTTCTTGCCGATGTCGGTCGCTCCCAGCCCCCCGGAGGTCAGCCCGCCGAGATGCTGACCGGGCTCGATCAACACCACCGACTTGCCCATTCGCGCCGCCTGCACCGCGGCAGCCACTCCCGCGGAGGTGCCACCATAGATCACCACATCGTGAGCCAGACAACGAAAACCACCACAAACCAGAATTGCGGCGACGGCCCACGACGCAAGCTTTGCATTCAGCATTCTTCGCACTCCGAGACACACTTGGGGATCATTGATTTCAAGAATTCATGACGAGCCGGAGGGTCCCAACTCATTCATCCGGCAACATCTCCGGCACCTTCTGCTGGAACTTCACTCCCGTTGAACGGTTCACATTGTCTGGACGTCGCCGCTTGGTGGGAGGGAAATCGCCGGTTCGCTCGCGCCACTCCTCCAGAACTCCGGCCAACTGTTCCCGCACCGAAGAATAGCCGTCGTCCTCCGCCAGGTTGTGCAACTCCTGCGGGTCGTTGATCACATCGTAGAGCTCATACTCCGGTCGCGGCACTTGGAACAACCGTGCCTGCGCGTCGGTCAGTTCTTCCTTCGCAAGCAATGCTTTCAGACTTTGCCACGATGGCGACGCACACAAGTCGCTAGGGGTTCCGTGGGGCAGGTCGAGGTAGGCGTTGCGAATCAGCTTGTACTGATTGGACCGCACGCTCCGCATATGCTCATCGCAGTTGTGCCAGTTGCGTTCGGCGAACACATACTCCCGCGGTTCGACCTCGGTATCTCGAAACAAGCCGGCAATACTATGCCCCTGCATATCCGAGGGAACTTTCACCCCGGCGATATCTAGAAACGTCGGGGCCAAATCGACGACGCTCACCAGCCCGTCGTACACGCTGCCTGCCTTAATCACTTTGGGCCAAGAGAACACCAGCGGAGTGCCAATCCCCGAGTCGTACAGCGTCCCCTTGCAACGAGGGAACGGTCGTCCATTGTCGCCGAAGAAGACCACCAACGTGTTCTCGGTTAGTCCCCGCTTGTTCAGCTGCTCCATCATCCGCCCGATGGCTTCATCCATGCGGGAGATTTCGTCGTAGTACAGGGCCAGGTCCTCGCGCGTTGCCTGATCGTCAACTAGGTACGGAGGAACTTCAACTTTCGCCGGATCGTGCGGCGGCGAGACGGCCCCTTTCTGATACGGCCGATGGGCATCCCGAAATCCAACCCACATAAAGAATGGCCGTTGCTCCGTGGCTTCAATGAACTCGGGGAAATCGTCGAGGTTCTTCGAGTACCAATCGAACTGATCGTTCCCGTTGGGGCCGTAGTGGGTCTTCAACATATGCCCACAGAAATAGTCACGATCTTTCAAGTACGTTGAGACGAAGGTCTGATCTTTGGGCAGCGGCGTGTGCAGGTCTTCGGCCCCCGTGGCGTGCGGGTACTTGCCCGTGAGCACGCTGATTCGCGTGGGACTGCATTGCGATGTGGTTAGGAAGGCGTTGTCGCATCGCAGCCCGCTGGCGGCCAGGGCGTCGATATTGGGTGTGCGAATGCTATCGTTGCCATAACAGCCGTAGTCCTTGGCGTCGACGTCATCGGCCAGAAAAACCAGAATATTCGGTGGATCCTGCTCGCCGCCGCGAAGTTCCACGGCAGGGGCGAGGAACAACCCGAAGACGAGGCACAATCCTCCAAGGTTTCGGCTGCTTCGTATCACGACGGTTCTCTCCGGTGAGGTAATTTTGGGAGTGTTTGGATTTTGGGCGGTTCCATGACCATAATCCCGCGAAGCCCGCGTTGCCACCAGAAGCGGCGATTGCAACGCGGCCCCAATCCTCCAAACTGGTATCCGGCACCCCAAGCGGTGGCCGGTCTACATCGATTGTAAATCCACTAGCAACGACATTCCTATTAGGAATCTATTCGAGGCACTCAAGATGAAATACCTACTGACGCTGGTCCTGTTGGGCATGGCCCTCAGCACCGGCACCGCGCGAGCCGCGGACGAACGCGGACCGAACGTTGTGCTGATCATCAGCGACGATCAGGCCTGGACCGACTTCGGCTTCATGGGCAGCGACGTGGTTCAAACCCCCAACCTGGACAAGCTTTCGGAGGAGAGCGCCACGTTCCGCAACGGCTACGTGCCCACATCGCTATGCCGGGCCAGTTTGGCCTCGATCATCACGGGCCTATACCCCCGCCAACACGGCATCTGCTGCAATGATCAGCCCGATGACCAGCCGCGTTCGGCACTGTCGCTGGGCAGCATCCCCACGATTCCATTCATGCTGGCCGAGGTGGGTTACAAGAGCCTGCAAACGGGAAAGTTCTGGGAAGGGCATTATTCAAACGGCGGATTCACCGACGGCATGACAACCCAGGGTCGTCATGGAGAAGAGGGCCTCGAAATTGGGCGAAAGACGATGAAGCCGGTGATCGACTTCATTGATAAGAATCGCGAGAACCCGTTCTTCATCTGGTACGCCCCCATGATGCCCCACCAGCCGCACAACCCGCCGGAGCGATTCCTGAAAAAGTACGAAACGAAGGACCGCCCCATCCAACTGGCAAAGTACTACGCCATGTGTGAATGGTTCGATGAAACCTGCGGCGTGCTGCTGGATGAACTCGATCGCCAGAACCTCACCGACAATACGCTGGTCCTGTTTGTGGTCGACAATGGCTGGATTCAAGAAACCGGCGACAAGAAAACCACCCGCGGCAACTTCGCCCCTAAAAGCAAGCTCTCGCCGTACGACGGAGGGTTGCGAACGCCAATCCTGGTTAAATGGCCAGGGCACACCAAAGCCGGCATGTACGACGACCTGGTGTCCAGCATCGACATCGCTCCCACCATTCTCACGGCCTGCAAAGCGCCGCTGCCGAGGATTCTCCCTGGCGTGAGCTTGCTCGATGTGGCCGACGGCAAAGGCCCCTTGGAACGCAAATCGGTGTCTGGTGCAATCTACACGCACACCGCCACCGACGTGAAAAACCCCGAGGCCAATCAAACTCATCGCTGGATTCGCGTGATGAACTGGAAGTTGATCCTGCCAAACGACCCGCTGAAGCAGCCCGAGCTGTACGACCTTGAGAACGACCCGCTGGAGGTCGACAATGTGGCCAGCGAGTATCCAGAGCGTGTGCTGGAGCTGAAGCGGCAACTCAACGAAGAGTACGACGACGACCAAGGCTTCACCCCGAAAACACCATGATGCAGCAGCTTCGATGTTGGACGTTCTTTACCTGGGCCAGCCTCGTCGCGTGCGCATCCGTTGGCGTCGCCCAGGAAAAGGAGCCTGTTCGGCTGCGATCCGATCCCCCGCCGATTCGCTCCTCCTGGGACGACTTGGTTGAGGGCGTCGAGACAGCCGACGATTGGGAATCCCACCGTGAACTGCTGAGGCAGCGTTATCTGGAGCTGATTCGAGATCAATACAAACCGGATCGTCCCGAGCTGGACCTGAAGGTTCACGAGTCCGTCGTTGTCGACGACCTTTACACACGGAAGCTCATCAGTTACCAGGTGGAAGCCGACGAGCGGGCCCATGCCTACCTGGGCATTCCGCTAGACCTGAAAGAGCCAGCGCCGGGGATTGTCGCCCTTCATGGCACGTATCAATACGGAAAGAAACGCGCCGCCGGTCTGATCGACAACCCGGACAAGGCCTACCTCGACCATCTGTGCCGCCGCGGCTATGTGGTGATCGCACCCGAGCATTTTGTCTCCGGACATCGCACCCCGGAAGAAGGCCCTTACGAAACGGGAGCCTTTCACAAGAAGCACCCCGAGTGGACCGCGGTGGGCAAGTTCACCTTCGAGCACTCCATCGCCGTTGATGTACTGGAGACACTCGACGAGGTGGATATGAACAACATCGGAGCCCTCGGGCATTCGCTGGGCGGGCACGGCACCATGTTCCTGGCCGCCTACGATGAGCGGATCAAGGCGTCGGCCTGCAATTGCGGAGCGTCATTCTTCCGGCACAATTCTGGTGTCGAGCACTGGTCCCGGAATCATTGGTACGTGTACTTCAAGCACATCCGCCCCAAGTTGCTTGAAGGGGAATTACCTCCCATCGATTTCCACGAGATCATGGCCCTCATCGCCCCCCGGGCGTTCCTAGACGTTTCGGCGCTGAACGACGGCGCACCACTCACTCAGCGGCAACGGGTGCTGATGCTCATGAAGGTGATGGACGTGTACGAACTGCTCGGCGTCCCCGAGAACTTCGCCTTTTTCGTGCACGGCCGCGGACATAGCGTGGCCCATGAGTCGCGAGAGTTGATCTATGGCTGGATGGACAGCAACCTGAAGCCCGCGGAGGCAACCGCCACGCACCTGGTCAGCCCGGCTTCGGAATAGGCCAGACTTCGGTCGTATTAAGATGCGGCTCCGGAAGACTCCCCGGTTGCCAGTTCGTGCTCGGGTGCTGCCTCTTCCTCACGCAGTCGTATCGGCCCTGTGCACTCGGGATACTTTCCTTGCTGTGTTGAGAAGTGTTCTCGAAGCACATCCATATCCCGCTTCACATCACCCGTGGGCATGTAGAGAGGGCCAAAACCGCCTCGTTTCTTGGCAAAATCTACCACCCCCAATGCCAACGGAACCCCGGCCCCGACAGCGATGTGATAAAAGCCGCTCTTCCAATACTCCACGCGACCCCGGGTGCCCTCGGGCGTGATGAGCAACAGGAGCTTCTCGTTCTCACGAAATGCATCGATCACCTGGTCTACGACGCCGTGATGGGCATTTCGGTCAATCGAAAGCCCGCCCAAGGCGCGAATCAGCACGCTGAGTGGCCACCAGAACCAGGTGTCTTTGATCATCCAGCGGACACGAACCCCCATCAGCTTGGCGATAGCAAGCATGATAACCGCGTCCCAGTTCGAAGTGTGCGGTGCGGCCACAATCACGCACTTAGGCGCTGCCGGCGGATCGCCGACAGGTTTCCAACCGATTAGCCACAGAAAGAACCGACTGAGCCAATACCCCATCGTTAGCACTCACAGAAACACGACGGCAGGGGGGCCTGCTTATCGATGCCTGGAGGAATGCTGGGAGTTTGGTTCTCCCCCAGGCTGCGATGCTTTAGGGCTTCGCCTGCTCATCAAAAGCTTCATTTAATTTCGGCATATTAGCGTCAAGGCTGTTTTGCCAACCCTCTAATTGGGAATGAAGTTTCGCGACGATTTCCGGGTGTTGCTGGGCGAGGTCGGTATGTTCTCCGGGATCGCTTTCCAGATCGAACAGCTCTCGACTGCCGTCTTCGAACCACTCGATCAACTTCCAACGTCCGCTACGAATCGCGGCCGAGGGGGCACCACCTTGGTTTCCGTAGTGCGGATAATGCCAGTAGAGCGTATCTCGCTCGAGACTTCCACCTTTTAACGCTGGCACCAGGCTCACCCCATCTTGCCCAGGTATCGCTTCGGCCGGGGTGCCTGTTACTTCGGCAATCGTGGGAAAGAAATCGATGCTGCAAACCGGGGCATCGCTCTGAGTTCCCGGAGAAGTAACGCCCGGGGCACGCACCACGGTGGGCACGCGAATTCCACCCTCGTAAAGCCACCCCTTACCGGCCCGATAGGGAAGGTTCGACGTCGGATGCCCCTCGGATGTCGATAGCCCCCCATTGTCCGCGGTGAAGATGACCATAGTTTTCTCAGTCAGTCCCAGGTCATCGAGGGCATCCAGCACCTTCCCCACGGCCTGGTCCATCGCCTCGACCATTCCGGCATAGACAGCGTGGTTCTGCACCAGGCGGACCTTGCGTTCTCGCTCCTGCCCCCACTCGGGCCCTGAGTTATTTAGTGAGGCACGCTTCTGCTCGTACTTCTTTCGCAAGTCTTCCCGCGCCATCAAAGGAGTGTGCACCGAGTAGAAACTCAACTCGGCGAAGAACGGTTGATCTTGATTCGCGCGAATGAATTCGACCGTCTCGCTGGCCAACCGGTCGGGCAGATGTTCGCCAGCCGGACCGTCGTGCAACCGAGGATTGCCATAGGGAGAGAAATACTTCTTGCCACCATAGGGTCCACCGCGGTCGATACCTCCCAGGTTGAAGTCGAACCCCTGATGCTCGGGCCAGTACGGTTCGTCTCCCAAGTGCCACTTTCCGGCAAAGAAGGTTGCGTAACCCTGCTGCTCGAGCAGCTCGGCTAGCGTGGTCTCCTCCAACTCAAGGTGATCGCGATAGGGGGCTGGCAACAGTTTGGTATTCCGCGACCAGTTCTCAGGCGTGTGTCGCCCGATGTAGTCGGTGACGCCAGTCCGTGGTGGGTACTTGCCCGTCACGATGCTGGCCCGCGTTGGCGAACAAACCGGGCAAGCCGCATAGCCCTGGGTGAACCGCAGCCCGGTGGAGGCCAAATGATCGATGTTGGGCGTCTCGTAGAACGTGTCGGGGTTGTTCGCACCAATGTCCATCACACCCAGATCGTCGGCCACAATCAGCACCACGTTGGGGCGTTCTGCTGGGAATGCTGCAGAGCAGCAGAAGTGTATCAATGTTAGAGCACTGACCGACAGAGACAAACGGTGATGGATTCGCATCGCGCGAAACATCCTCCTGAAGTGTGAACGGTTATTGGGCCGCCGAAGCACTACCAGCTGCAGTCGTGGCATTCACTTCCTGCAAGTAGGCCAGCAGTTCGAATACTTCGTCTTTCGAGAAACGGTCGAGCAGGGCCTTGGGCATCATGGAGACCGACGACTTAACGATCTCGTCGATATCGTCCCGCTTTACCACTGTGGGAGTCGGCGACTCGGGGTTGGTGATCAGCGTCACCGACGACTTATCTTCCGACTGCACGATGCCGGTAAACACCTCGCCATCGGTCGTCACAACCAGTTGAACCGTGTATTTAGGGTCGATCTTGTGCGACGGATCGAGAATCTCG